CGTAAGAGAGTAGGAAACTTTTTTGATTTGGGGGCTTTTGAAGAAATTGTAACGGGCTTTAAACACAAGTTTTTAGATGCAATGAAATTATCGGGTTAATTTCAACTTTTTGTAGTAATGCTCAATTTAGCGTATCTCTATTTTAAGCTGTACCTACATTTTAATTTGTATTTAAAAATACTTCGACTTTGAATTTGTAAAATACTAAAAATACCTTTGACCATTTTAATTAAGTTTTCGGCACCGGATTGCCAAGTGGCATATACAAAAATTAAAAAACTGGTCTAGAAATGGCATATATATACTTTTTGTTTTAAAAAATATATTTAAAATAATAAAAACTTAAACCAATCAATTAATTGGATAAATAGTTTGCTTTTTTTTTTTTTTTTTTTTTTTTTATTTTTTTGTCTTTCGGTTAACAGTTTGGATCTATTGTTTATTTTTTTTTTTTTGATAAAATTCCAAAGGAAATCTACATTGCATGCTTAAGGTGTCAACCTGCCAAACTAAGGAGTTTTTTTAAAATTATAAAAAAGTTAATTAATGTGTTTTGGTTTTTAAACTTTTTTTTATTTGCTTTAAAAGTATTTTTTTTAAAAAAAAATGTCAACCTAGACAGTGTGTTAATTTTTTCTATGCCACGTGTCATAAACTTGGCATCCAGTACCGAAAAAATTAATTAAAATGGTCAAAGTACTTTTTATTGTTTACAATTAAAGTTGAAATATTTTTAGAGGTTACAAATTGAAGTGTAGGTACAATTAAGTGCAGAAGACCCACTAATTTTGAGGACCACCAAGGAAATTAAGCCAATGATATTATAATTAATTTAAATAATAAGTTACAAGTGGGAATCTCTATTATATTATAGTATATAATAAAGTTACTGAATAATATGATCAACCATGTTATATAATTAATTATTTCCATTAACATGCCTTCATTGTAGTTTTATCAAATATGACCTTAATTTTAACAAACATAGAAATAAACTTTAATTTTCAATAGATAACTTCTTTTTTCAGGAAAATTAGAGATAATTTCTTTAATTACTCCCTCCATTCTTTTTAATATAGGAGGTAAGCTAAATTTTTACAAAATTTAAGAAAGTGGTTTTAATCATTTTTTTTTTTTTTTTGCCTTTTTGTTTTTCTATATTTTACCCTATAAATATCTCATTTATTTTTCTCCTCTACTATCAATATATCGCATTAAATTACATTTTCAATATTAAAATAAGGTTGTAAATGGCTTTTGTTTTGGAACCGAAGAAAATGTAAAAGGTTGCAAAAAAAAAAAAAAAAAGGGTTTATGCTCTGACCTGTGGTGGGAAATTTTTTTTTTTTTTTGTGGTCCTTCCTTAGGGGAAAGTTGTGTGAAAATATAAAATTTGTTTTCTCTTTCCAAAAAAAAAAAATAAAATAAATACAAATTTGTTTTACTAAATAAAAATTGTGTGAAAATTTGTTAATAACTTAGAGAATCATCAATATTTGAGTAATTATTCGTTTTTTTCACTCCATATAAAAGGAAAATTGGAAATTGGATTAAAGGATTTACATGTAATGACAACATTATTTAAGTCTTTCAAATTAATTAATCATTAAATGTTAAGGGACTTAAATGTTAATTTGATCATAATTCTGATCCTGAAAATATTTAACCTAATTTTTAATTTTGCCTGCCATTTTTAGTGCTTGTAATTCCAAACTAGCGCGATGCACAAAAGATAGCAGAAGACTAAATAAATTATTTTTCATTCCAAGAAAAATTACATTATTAATTATTTTACTCATTATTGTTATTATTATTGTTCGAAAAATTATTAAATTAAATAATATAAAAAAAATTTATTAATTTCAAATTTTCAAATTAAAATCACTTGCAATGTATACGTTAAATTAATCTAAATTTTTTGGACCATCTCATGCACGGGTCTTTTCTTAAAAAAGGCTTTTTAAAGTAAAATTAAAATTATGTATTTGAATCAAACAATACGAGTCCGCAGATTTTTGGTCAACGGTCTAGCATCTTTTTGTCAACCGTGTGTGGCCTATCAAACTTGAAGATAATGAGGGACCATGAACAGCTTCAAGCTAACCATATTTTTGAATCGGGGAACACAGCTTTCACGCCAACTTAACTTAATGGTGCTTGCTGAATAATACGTAGAATAAAATCATTTGCCCATAAATTTAGAAAATAATATTTTAAATAGAAGTTCGCAAGATTTTTCGTTTCAAAAGAAAACAAATATTTAAATATAAATCAAAAATATAATAAAAAAAGAAATAAAATATTTTAATTTAAATTAAACATAATTGATTAATTAAAAACAAAAAAAATAATAAATAATTTTTGATCAAGTAATTCAATAAAATCAATGTTTTTTTCTAAAATCAATAATTTTAAAATCAAATATTTTAATTTAATTATTTTTTTAAATCAAAAAACAAGACATTATATATTGTTTTAATACTTATTATTATATTTCCAGAATAGTTTTTTTTCTTTGCTCATTTTTAAACTTTTCAAAATTTTTATTAATTAAAAAATATTAATTTTATCAAAGATTAAATTTTTATTTCTTTGATATAAATTCAGATAGAAATATTTACCAAAAAATTTTGAATCTTTTTGAATAAATTTAGGCCGTGTTGGGCAACAGATTTTTTTAAATAGCTTTAGCATTTTGATTAGTCAAAATATTAGCACTCTATTTAAAAATACTACTCGATAACATAACGTTTGGAATTTTAAATTTTAGATATAATGGTTAGTCGTTTTGTCAAAAAGCCTAACTCTATAAATTTGTATTAATTTTTTAGCCATTTCATTAAAAAAATATTTAAACAGCTATAATTTAATTCTATTAAAAATAACTAAAAACAAAAAGGTTTTAAAAAATTTTTTAAAATAACTAATTTTTTTTACCCGGTCCATATAGTTAATTTTAATCTAAAACGAACTCTTAAATATTCCTCTCCAGATGGAGATAAAATTAACTTTATTTCACTGTATAAATATAAATCATTGAATAGAAAAGGCAACAAAGCTCTTCTAGTTCTTGTATTGAATTGGCCGACAAAAGCAATTTTAATGTTTTTCTTGCTATGGCACTGAGTCGGTGTAGACTCCCTCTCCACCCAATGTCTGTGTGGACTTCCATCAGGCCCGCACAGCAAACATCCTCTTTCTTCTTTTATTTTTATTTTTTTTAATTTACTTTTTCCAAGTTTGTGGAACCGTACGTGGGAAATCCACAATACTCCCTATAGTTAATAAAGTTTTACTAAAAATGGGATGGAGCACTTTTCACTTGCCATTTACATATTAAATTTATTTATTTTAATAAAAATTCTATTTAATTTAACTCAATTCAAAAAATGTTCCTTAAAATTTTTTTTTTCCTAACTTTTTTTTTGCAATTTTTACTTTCAATGGTTCATGGGCACTTTCTTTGTTACGTGTACTATGCGTCCCTCGCGCAATACGAAGAGTGACAAATTTCTCGACGCCATCCTTTTTGAGTTAAACTTTCAATGTTTTTACTAAGTTAAAACAATATTTCTAATTAATTAAACAGTAATTTTAATAAACATAATTTTTATAATAGCCTATTTTAGATGTTAAATGAGTTTTTTTCATAAAATGTTAAATATTTAATTGTTTTGTGGTTTGTTATTTTGTTTCAAAATATAAGTTGTTTTTGTATTTAAAGAAAATAATAAATGATGATTTTTTTTTAATATTGTCATTATTTACCACTAATATAATAAATATTTCGCAAGCAACTATTGATTTGAGAACCAGAATAATTTGAAGTTTGTTTATGTATTTGGAGAAATTTAATTGTTTTCTTAATTTTTATATAAAAAATTTTAAAACGATTTTATATTTTGAACAGAGAGAGTAAGACTCGGACTAAAATTCAAAAATTCAAGTATACTAAAAGACAACTCATATTAATCAAATGGAAATTAAAAGTAAGACAAAAAATGAAAAATATAATGTACATATACGCTACTAAAAATGAAAGGGAGGTCATTCAAGTTTAATGATCAATATTTCATCATGAATTTATGATAATAAAAATTAATAATAAAAACATCTTATTTATATGTAGATAAACTAAAAACCTAATTTAAGCAGGAAAGATGTCATCAAACTAATAACTAGAAGCTTAAACAAGTCCTAATTAACATTTTTCAGAAAAAAAAAAAAACATGATTTCCTATTAAAAAATACGCATATATTAAGCTAAAAAATTTCATAATTTCCCCATACAGCATTAATTATTTAAATGATAATTATAGAAACGGGAAATTAAAGCTAACCAATTAAAACTAAAAGCCTTTTAAATAATAAATGTTCCTATTATTAATCTTTTAGCCCCAATGAAGTTAAACAGGGCAATTTTGTCATTATGAAATTTTAACCCAAGCCCTTTTTTTGACGAATTCCAATATTTTCGTTTCGTATTCCTACTTTTATATATAATATATACAATTATAGTTTTATATTGTAAGTAAACAATGAATCAAATAAAAAGCTAGAAAAAAAACATACATTTTGTTTATTTTTTTTTTATGTAACTGGAAATCAAAGTGGAATGAATCAGCTATCCCATAAATCAATTTGTTGAGCACTCTGGACCACAAGTGGGAGGTTTTTTTAATCTTGTTGTACAGTCAATAAATTTTATTTTGGCCCATCAAATCTCTCATAAAAAAAAAAAAAAAAAAAAAAACCTATTCCATACCAAACTTGAGTAAAATAAATTTATAAAAAAAAAAAAAAAAAAAAAACTATCCATACCAATTGAGTAAAATAAATTATTTTCAAAAAGAAAAACGGCTATATGTAACCGTTGACTAAAATAAATTTTTTTAAAAAATACATATATAGTACGAATTAGATCAAGTAATCAATACTATACGAAACTGGTGAAAAAGCGTCAAATTTTCTTTTCCGCGCTTATATAAACTGGCATGCATATACGAGAGCAATAATAGAGATAGCAAAAGATATAAAAAAAAAAAAGCCATGGGAGCAAGTTTATCAACACTAGCTTCAATTGCAATCATTCGTAGCTCATTCAATGAATTCATCCCACAAGAAATCCGCAGTTACATATGGGAATTCAGTCGCCGGTTCTCATCAGAGCTCACTATAGTCGTCAAAGAAACACATGAAGGCTTGACAAACCACCTCTTTAATGCTTTGGTTGCATATCTTGGCAGCAATGCTTTCTCCTCCACATCCTCTTCCTATTACTCTTCATTGCCGCGCCGCCTAACAGTAGGCAAAAACGAAAGCATGAAAATTCTAACATATGGGTTAGACAGAAACTCAGAGATAGTTGATGTATTTCACGGAATTCAAATGAAATGGGGATTTTATACTGATTTCAATGCTACACTTCATTATGAATTGAGATGGTATGAGCTCAGGTTTCATAAAAGATATACTGATTTGGTTAAGAACAAGTACTTTCCTTACATTCTTGACATGGCTAAGAGAATTAAAGATCAGAATAGGATGGTTAAGTTTTACACTAATCGTGGTGGTAGAGATGGTTGGAGTTCTAAAGGATTAAATTTAGATCATCCTATGACATTTGAAACACTAGCCATGGATGGTGATTTGAAAGCAAAGGTTATAGAAGACATAAATGGCTTTATTAGAGGGAAAGAGTATTATAAGAAGATTGGTAAAGTATGGAAAAGAGGGTATTTTAGAGGGAAAGAGTATTATAAGAAGATTGGTAAAGTATGGAAAAGAGGGTATTTGCTGTATGGCCCTCCTGGAACTGGGAAATCAAGTTTAATTGCTGCTATGGCTAATTATCTTAATTATGATATTTATAATTTGAATTTATCTGGTGTGAATTCTGATTCTTGTCTTGAGAATTTATTGCTTCATATGTCCAATCGGTCAATTCTTGTTGTGGAGGATATTGATTGCTCTATCATGCTTCAGAATCGTCAAGCTGGAGATCATCATGAACATAATAATACCCAATCTTCAAGGCCTCAGGTTTGTTCTCTGTTTATCTACTAATTTGCTCATTTTCTTTATTTTCTTCTCAGTTTTAACTTCTTGTTTTCTGTAAAGGTAACACTGTCTGGACTTCTTAATGCCATAGATGGCTTACTGTCCTGCTGTGGAGATGAAAGGATTATAGTTTTCACTACTAACTACAAAGATAGGATCGATCCTGCATTGCTCAGAGCTGGTCGTATGGACATGCACATATACCTATCTTATTGCACATTCTCTACCTTCAAGCAGTTAGCGGCAAATTATTTGGATATTTGGGATCATCATCTGTTTACTTCCATTGAAAAGCTTATTAAAGAAGTTCAAGTTAGCCCTGCTGATGTCGCAGGTGAGCTAATGAAGAATAGAGATCCAAAGACTTCATTAGAAGGACTTGTCAAGTTCTTGGAAGACAAGGTAAATAGTGAATTCTTTCTCTTTTAAGATCTAATTTTATCATATACTTGTAAATAGTGACTTGATTTTTCCTACATCAGAAATCAGAAGCAAAATTGCAAAAACCTGAGATCAAATCAGATGACAATAAAAGCCTGGAACAGAAGGTTGATGATAATGCCTTTGAAATTAAAAAAGAAGCTGAGTCACCTAAAGATCAATCAATTTCACTGAAGGAAAAGAAGTATAGAGTTAAGGGAGAATTTGAGCCTGTTCTTGAAGCTATTCTTTCCAAATACGGTGATATTGCTGCCAATTGCTCCTTGCGTTCTGTCCAATGCCGTTCCTCCCTCCTGGAGATTGTTTGTGACATCAGCCAGAAACTACAAGCAGCAAAGCTAAAAAATCTAACTGAAAACCAACAAGAGACCTTGTTAAATAGCGTACGAGATCTTGAATCATTGAGACTGGAAGTTGGCTGGCTGCGTCAGAGATTAGAGGAGATTCAAGAAATGAAGGAAATGGATAAACAGCTAAAAGGCAGCAATGGAGAGGGTAATGGAAAATTGAATTGTTTTAACAGCAAGTCATTAGTTGATGGGTTAATTTAACATGGTGGAAAGGGTAAGAAAGTTATTTCACTTTCACATTCAAGTCAATTTCCTTTGGATGTCCTGAGAAAGTGTGAGTATGCAGTATCAATTGGCATATCTGTCTATTAGCCTTATTTAAGATTAGCAGGCTAATTTGGTGGTATAACCAAAAATTTCCATTATTTATAGTTTTTAACTTTCTGATAATTGCTTTCAGTTGCCAGAAAACCCCATTTTAAAGGTCTCAAACATATATAATTGTTGTGATAAAATTTGCATACACCTGATGTATGAACGGTGATCCATAAAGCATTTTTTAAAATATTATTACTATTTCATCCTTTTTTTTGTCATTTTTACAATCTTTTTTTTTTTTTTTTTTAAATTTACCTAAACCTTATATATGAATAGTTACATGCACACTCTTTTTTAAACTTCATATCATTTCATTAAAGTTCAGTTGTCAAAAACATCCATGGTAGAATAACAACCTTCCAAAATCAATTATATAACCACTGAAGAGTAATATATATTATTTGATTGGCTTGATATACTATTTTACCTCGACTTTTTTCTAGCAATTGCAGTTTTAATCTAATTTAACATTTGGATGAATGATATCATTATTTATAACTTTATATGCAGTTGCACCTTAAATACAATTTCTGATTAATATTTGCAAGAAATAAGGCTTAATTTGCTTTCTGAACTTGGACACAATATATAATTTTTTTTAAAAAAATTAACTTTTTTGTATATTTATGCCTTAAAGTTGCACCAAAAGTACAAGATGCCGTTTTTTATCCCAAAAAATAAATTATTTGATTTAAATAAAAGATGATTAAAATGTAATTATATATTTTATCTAAATAAAAATATAATTAAAATAAATAATCAAACAAAAAATAAATATTTTTATAAATGAATATCTCAATATCTCAATATAATCAAATATTTTTCTAATTCTATAATTTTTTTAAAATCAAATATTTGTTAAATTATTTTGAAATCAAATACTGTAAATTTTTTAAAATTATTATTATATAATTTTGTAATTTTAAAATTTTAAGTAATTTTTATTAGTGAAAATTATAAAAAAAATTTACTTAAAAAAAGTTGAAAAGTCAAATTGGACTAAAGTTAATTTTTAGAGAAATTGTATCACAAATTCCACTTTGCAATTAAAAAAACATAAACTCTGGGTCCCACAATCCAATTTTAGTTAGATTTTCATTTTTGCTCGATAGAGACTGAGAATCAAGCCCGAGGGTTGATGATTGGAAGGATTAGCTAGTTTAGCGGGGCTTTTGCACAATATTGCCAAAGTGGCTTTGTGAATGGATTGGTCGGTGCTTTAAGAAATACAATATTAATTTATTAAATATCATTTTGTAAGAAACACAATATTAATTTATTTAGTAGCACAAATATATTCTTTCACCTTCAACTTTAAGTTTTATTGTATTTCACTCTGATTTAATATTTATGCCAATTTCATCATGAACTTTAATTTTTTATTACAATTTCACTCTAATTTCACTCTGAACTTTAACATTTTGTTGCAATAGAACCCTAAATTATAATTAAGACTTAAATTGTAAATAAAAAATAAGTTTATTCTTGACCTTGGGCTTAGATTAACTTAATACATTATGTGAATGAGGAAGTTTGAGTTAATAGTAAGGACAATCTCTATTATTATTTTTAATATTTTAAATTCTTTCTTTTATTGATAATAAGTAATATTAAAAATTAATTATTTGATACATAAATTTTTTTTTGAAAAAATTAGAATATAATTATTATTATGAAAATTTTTTTTATTTGAAAAATTAGAATATATCAAATCATATTATATGGTCCATGACGCCTCGGTGTATATTTTAGTAATCAGCAATCGTGTCTGGATTATAAATTTCAAAAAATCTTACTACCTCCTAAAACAATAGCATAGACTATCCAATTTATGACTCAATAAACTATTAGAAATTGTGAACACTTTGTTTTTATCAAAATAAATATAAGTATATTATAATTTTTTTTAAAAAAAAGTATTCATTGTATCAAAAATATTTAATTTAAAATATTTTTATTCAATTGAGAAAAATTAAAAATATTAAAAATTAATAATAGAGATAGTCCTTACTATTAATCCAAACTCCTTCCCCGACATATAATGTTGAATATGTTGATACTTCCAGGCCAGCCAGTCTAATAGTAAATTATTTCATATTTTTTCATTTAACAATTAAAGGTTATCCTCAATTATAATTGTATGAGGTTCTTAGGGGCATACAAACTGATCAGAGTCAGAATAAAATTTGATATAAATGGTCAAATTAGAGTGGAAATTGCAAAGTTCTTCGTATATCATTAAACCAATTTCAAATTCGGAATAAATATCGCAATAAAACCCTAAAGTAAAAAATTAGAATATAATTATTATTATGATTTTATTTTAATATAAATTTTAAAATAATTATAAAATCTAAAACAAAGCTGCTATCAATTTATGACTCATAAACTATTAGAAATTGTAACACTTTTTTTATCAAAATAAAATATAAGATATTATAATTTTTTTTAAAAAAAAGTATTCATGTATCAAAAAAATTAATTTTTAAATATTATTTATTTCAATTGAAGAAAAAATTTAAAAATATTAAAAATAATAATAGAGATAGTCCTTACTATTAATCCAAACTCCTTCACCGACATAAATGTATTAAGTTAATCCAAGCCAAGGTCAATAGTAAATCTATTTTTCATTTACAATTAAGTCCTAATTATAATTTAGGGTCCTACTGCAACAAAATGTCAGAGATCAGAATAAAATTGATATAAATGTCAAATTAGAGTGAATTGCAAAGTTCCGACATAAAAATCAAATCGGAATAATATCGCAATAAAACCTAAAGTCTGATTGCAAAACATTATATTATGCCTTTATTTAGTTAGGTAAATATTAGGTGAGTGGTTCTATAAGTGCTTGGAGGGTGCTGGACAAAGTGGAACCAACAACTTATGATATGGCTTTGCGTTAATGGAAGCTTACTTGTCCACCAATAGGTAAGTGGGTGAGTAGAGCTCTGGTTGTGCAAGATTTTCTTAGCTACCATGGAAGTTATAGAGAAAGGGAAGAGAAAATGTTACTTAAGCAAATTATTTTTTACTTTTAGTTAATAAAAAGCAAAGAGTAAAATTACTAAGAAACTACCAACAAAATTGGTGGTTTCTTAAACAAATTATTTTTTATTTTGTTTATGTTTTTGTTAAGAGAAAAGGAAATTGTAAGATTGCTAAGAAACCACCAATAAGATTGGCTGTACAAATTTAACATTACAGTTTTTCGATAAATACTTTGAAAGGCATAATGTATAAGAATACTCTGAATTTGCAGTTTTAATGTATTTTAACTTTTTTGTTAATTTTATCCTAATTTCGACATTTTGTAGCGATAACACCATTAATTGCAATTAAGGATGAGAATGCAAATAAAAAGGTACTTCCATCATTTTTTAAAAATTAATTAAAAAAAAGGTTTTAAATGCCTTTTGCATATTAAATTATTTATAGATTTAGAAATATGATAGTTGAGACGTGTGAAATTAAAATACTAAAAAGTTATTTATTTATTTTATATTAAATGAATAGTAACTTGACTATATTTTCAATCTAAAAAAAAATTTAATATTAGAGTTTTTATCCTTAAAATATAGATAATATGGAAACAAAACATGTAATTGAAAAAATTACATTTTGTTAAATTAATTTTTATGTCATGCTTCCTAACTCTTTAGGAAGTACAAGAAACATAGATTATTATTAACTAGCATACTTATTTCAAAATTAAAATTTAATATATGCAACACTAACTGGATAGATTTTAATAAATTTTTTTAAAAAAAAATTATATTTTTATAAATGTCACATGATATTCTCAAAATGATGGAAATATTTTTCTATTTGCAATTTCATTCTTAATTGTAATTGAGGGTGCTACTATTATTATAAAATATCAAATTTGAGTAAAATTGATAAAAAAAATTAAAATAAAGTGAAATTTGTAAACAATTTAAGATATTCTAATATATTAAGTCTATTTCGAAAGTACAGTATTCGGGAGTTAGGACTTTTTTATTTTTTATTTTTTACTTCATTAGAGAAAATTGCCTTTGTAAGAGTCCAGTTGCAAATTGGATAGATTTGGTGAAGTATTCCAAAACAATCTAGCAATTTCTGGTCTTGTTTTGAAATAGAGTGTCCTAAATGACATATCTTATACCTGATACAACTTTTCTATAGCGGGTCAAAATGTCTATCAATAAATTTAAGGCCAAAATGAATATACATGTCCCCGAATTTTATTAAAAAAATCTTACGGCACTCTAAACTTTGTAAGTGACTTATTATGTCCATGAAGTTACGAATTTTGCTAATATTATATTCTCTCTATACTAATAATAATATTTTTTTCGATGTTTTTGGTATTTATGTGTAAAATATTCACTTAATATGTGGTTAATATAATCTTTGTAATAATAGTTTTTTCATATTTTCAGTTATCTAATAAGTGTTTAATTGATTTAATTTTAGAACTTTGAGCATTTAATAAAAAAATTTTTGTAAGTTGAAGTACTTAATTGATACAATTTTAAAATTTGAAGTATTTAATATGCCAAAGTAAAAGTTGAGGGCGCTACAAAATTTTTTACGTAAAATACAGTGATGAATTTATGCATTGGGCCATAAATTTAATGCAGTGGTTTTGCCTGCAGTTTACACGATGTATTTAGATATTTTAACCCGCTACGGTAAAAGTTGTGTTAGGCTCTAATTATTTTTTTCATTTGAAATAACACAAACTAAATTTGATAAATAATACTTTTCTAATAAAAATATTTAAAGCAACTATGTACTTAAATATTACTCATTTTGTCTGAAAAAATATAAGTCGTTTTAAGATGACTGTTTTGTTCCAAAATATAAGTCATTTTGAGTATTTTAAAGAAAAATAATAAATGATTTTTTTTCAATTTATCAATATTTATATTAAATACTATGATTATTTTTACAAGTTACTTTTGATTTTGATATAAAGAATGTTTTGGTCAAATTACAGTTTTTATGTTATAATTTAGAAAAATTAATTATTTCCTCAACCCAGTACAAAAAAAAAAAAAACAAATCCTTAATCCCTATATAAAAACTTTAAATAACTTATATTTCAGGATGAAAGGAATATCAAATTCAACTCCATAATATTCCATGTTCATTTATTTATTTACACGACATAGAATTCTTCACTTAACATTGTATAAAACAAAGACATACTAATTTTCATCATCTTCGTTTCGCATTAATAGACATAAAATGAAAGTCCACATATAAACAGTATAATGATAAAATAAACTACATTATCATTTCTATAAAATACAGGGGTGGAACCAGCCCAAAGAATTAGGGGGTTCAAACTATAATTTTGATTAATGAGGGGATCAAACCAAAATATTTTTTTCAATTTTTTTAACACTAAAAATTGATTTTTTTTAAATTTTTTTTATATTGAGAGGGCCAAGACCCTTTAATCCCTAACAACAAATAACTAAACCATAAGTTATATTCTCATATCTTATGGCAGATATTGCTATGTTGGTAGCAGAAGAGTTTGAAAGAAGAGACAAGAATTCAAGAAAAAGGTGGTGCATATAGAGAAGAAGAGGTCAATTGGGTCTTCTGTGTTTCTTTTTATTTCTCAAAAGGTCAAGAATTAATTTTAAAACACTGAACTGAAATTCAATAAGAAATCTGCCAAAAATGGGCATCACAGCATCAGAGTATAAAAGATGCATCAATGAAGCATTCAAATACCTCACAACTTTGAGTTCTCAATTCAATATGTGGCCCAATCATGAAAATGGATTATCAATTTCTCATTGATACATTAAGGTAGTGTTTAGTTCAATTCATTTGAAATGAATTCCACTGTTTAGGTTCATAGGACTTAAAATGCAGAATTCAATTGAATTCAGCATTTTAGCTGTTTGGTATATTTTCAGAATTGAATTTCATTTGTTCTTATTTGTTAAATTACTCTAAAATCTAATTATTTAGTGAAACGACCCGGAATTTTATTTTCAAAAATTTTTCATTTAAAAATTTAATTGTTAATCCTAGCGAATGGCATTATAGAACTTATTACGTTCAAAATTTTAATAAATTAACACCCTATGGATTTATTTAATCAATTAAATGAAATTATACATTTTATATAGTTAAATGAAACCGAAAGAGTTAATTAAACCAATTGAAAAGCTAACAAACCGAAAGGAAACCCAAGCAAAGATCCTGAATCGAACCAAACTAGTTCTGAATCAAACCAAACCATTTCCTAAAAACCTAAACCAAACTCCCTAAGAGTTTCTTCTCCTATTAGCGGCAACCTCCACCCCTCCCCCTCTCCCTTTCGCTTTTCCGGTCACCTGAAGCCAGCGCCATCCCACCGCCTCCCGCCGCCGTTCCCTTGCCGCTCTCTCTCTCCCTCTCCTCTGTTATCTCGGGCTAGCGGCTAGCGCAGCTGTCGCACGAAGCCTGCAACTTTGCTAATCGGGAAATCGCTTCGCCTCTCCAGCTCCATTTTTTCGGCGACTCCAGTGCAAGCAGCCAACTCCGGCCTCTCTCTAGTCGACGGTGAAGCTCTAGCTCTCTTTCTCGCCGCTCTCTCTCCTTCCCGTCCAGGCTGGCGCAACAAACTAAGGAGCTGCAAGTTGCGATCTTTTGCGATCGGGACAGTCGACTCGCCGATCTTCTTTGCTTTTCCCGGCGAAACTTGTCAAGGATCGGCTGGTTGCACCTTCCAACGTCTCCAGCAAGTCCATTGGCCACCGTTTTCCTTGGCTCCGGCTAAGCCACCTCCGGCAGAGTCAACCTTGAGTGTTGAAGCTATTTCCGGTTAATTTAACCGGAAAATAACCAACTTCCCACATAATTTTCAACTAGGTAAACTGATTTTGGACCCTTTTTAGCTTATTATTCATGAATTTTCTGATTTTGTGGCTGATTTGGTGTGCTTGAGGCAACTTCCATTCAGAAGCTAAGAATTTGATTAATGGCAGTAGCTTCCGATTAGAGAAATTATAGTTTTGATTTAATTAAGTTCATATATGATAGTAGAAGCGTATTTTTTATGGTTGTCATATAAAAGCTCTAGTGATCAAATGAAGTAACAATAGGAATTTTTATTTATTACTGTGGCAACAGGTAACTTAGTTATTTTGATTAAGTTTTGTTTAATGAAAAAGGAAAAGTTATAGTGTATTGAGTTTATAAATTAAATTCTTGCTAACAATTGGTTAATTAAATATTCATATTTGGTTATGCTTGGTGAGGATAGCGATTCATAGATTATTTAGTTGTTAATTAAGATCTTAGTTAATGTTTATAAAGAAAATATGAGCTATAACTTTGTATGATTATTAAAGGTATATGATTGGAAAGTTTAAAATAGTAGGACTTGGAGGATAAACAAGTAACCATTTTCACTCGGTCGCATAATTATTATTTATTTGTTTAATCTTAGTTAAGCTATGAATGTTTTTGTATTAGTAGCAACTGATTTGTATAGATGGTTAAAGGACTATTTTGTTACTTTGTTGGAGGAAGGGAAAAATAATTTGATTTGATTGATTGCTAGATGGATGGGTTGTGTCGACTAGATGAATATTTAATGAAATTGTTGATATTTAAACAAGTTGATGGTTCAATTTTTAGGAGAGATGCTACCGAAATTTCGGCAGAATCTAGTCTAGTTATAGCAATTAGATAGGAAGATAATTTATTAGATTAATTCCCTAATTCTTTACTTAAAATTAATTCTTTGTCTCATGCAATTCTTCCTTGTATTCTTAAATTCTTTAAATCGTATAAGCTCGCCTACTGCCCCGAGTCAAAGTTCGAGTTAGAGCTTCTTCCTTTCTCTACCACTATGAGTAATAATAGATAGAAGATATCACCATTGCATACACATGTCACTTACTTTATAAAGAAATATATATAGATGATAACTTAACATTCATTTTTATATTATCATATTATTATATATGTATATATATTATATTTATTTATATAATAATTATATTATGTTATTATTAATTATATAATTATACTTTTACGTTTCCGCATTAAGGATTGGTGTGTTGCATTATGTTGAATAATTTGTTTGATTACTTGTGCTGTGAACTTACTGTGCCTTATTTGTGTGGAATTGGAATGAGGTGGGTCACCACGGGTTTGTGAGGGTGGTCTTTGATACTATCGGCCATGTATGGGGAGATCGACGCCCCCATGTGCATCTAATGATATATGATATGAAAAAACCACAGGGTGACCGCCTGTTGGTATGAAAAAGAAAAGAAAATATATAAAAAAAAGAGAGGGCTGTTCAAGTGAGGATTAAATTGGTTGGCCATATATGGGGGACCGGTTCCCTGGTGCACACGTTTGATAGGGCGAGCCATGGGTGAGGATGGCTCGTCGAGGGGTTCGGCGACGCCACTGACCAACTTCCACTTGTTTGATTATTTGAAGGTGTAATTACTTATGGGTGTTGAAATTGTGCAATATGCTTGATTGGTTGCGTGTTTATTTTAGTGTAAAAAGGTTGCATTTCGCATGAATGCTTGTGTATGCATTATTTGTTATTATTCACTGAGTTGTAAAACTCACTCTTCATTTTTTAACTTTTCAGGAAGTAGGATTCCTGTAGGATTTCTGTCGAGTCGTTTAAAGTTCTGCAACCTTCTTCGCAGAGCTATATAAGTAAATTCCTAATTTCTGTAATTAACTAATTTATGTATTGTTATGTATAAGAACTTTGCTACTTCTAGTTATTATTGCACTCCGCAGTTGTAGGATTTATATACCTCTAATCGTGTAGTAAAATGGGTATACTATTCTATGGACTTACAAATGTCTTAATCATTTATTTAGATGCATGCATGAACTGGTAGCCTATATTATGAATGAGGTGTATTACACATAAGCGTGAACTGTGTATTGAGATGTTTGAGATTAGACTAGGATCATGTGATTATTATATATATATTATACACTGTAGGATTTTTTCTCTGTCTGGTCTTCGTTTAAGTTCTGCAACCTTCTTCAGACTATATAAGTAAATTTCCTTAATTTCTCTGTTTTTTAATTTAACTAATTTTTATGCTATTTCGTTTATGTTATAGGAGACTTTGCTACTTTTTGTTCTTAGTTATTTTATTTGGCACTCCGCAGTTTGTAGGATTTTATACCTCTAATCGTGTAGTAAAATGGGTATTACTATTCTAATGGACTTACAAATGTCTTAATCATTTATTTAGATGCAATTGCTATTTAGGTAAGCAGTGGTTAAAGCTCTTACCTTAATTTAATTGTACATGAGGTTAATTTAAACACATATAGGTTTTATGGCGTGAACGTTAAGTTGTTAGGTTTGAGATGTGTTTGAGACTATATGACTAATGGATCTTAAGGATGAGTTTATCTATATATATGCTATAGTTTTTAGGTATTGTTCTCTTATAAGTGTTTATTATTGATATATGATTGTATTATAGTTATTTGGTGGCTTTCTGTCTTTGGAGGGCCATCAGGCTTTTTAATTTGGCGTGTTATAAGGACTTTGTATTAGTTTAGGTCTTATGCATTAGGGCTCGAAGGGCCCTTAAGGTTTATCGGTCTCAGTTGGTTCTTAGATTCCTTAGTGATTATCCTGATTTCCGGGACCTATAATTCTTCATGGGTTTAGTTGACATTTGGATTCAATGAATCTAATTTTGATTATGGATATTCAAGGTGTCAAAAAATCTTTGTTTTTCATGCATTTATAATATTCGAGGTTTATAGCCCAAAATATATAATGTTTATGGTAATGTATTTTATTACAAAATATAAGTCGTTATGAAGTCATTTTAAAAGTAAATATAATGGGATGATTTTTTCAATTGTAGAACTGTTACGATCCATTTTTCAAGAGTTGGACATAATCACCTAGGTGATATCTGTCACAGTGGTAGCCCGGGGTTTCAAAGGCTACTTATTGAGGGCATATCATTTCGTGCATAATCAAAGCCCCAAATCTAATAGTCCCCTAACAGACGTATCAAAAAAATAATAAGTCATAATAATTACTGACTTTATAAACTTATAGTTTTATTACAACTCTTGTTGAGAGATCATTTGTTAAGCGTGATATATACTCTAGGAAATTTATTGATATTGTTTACCATTTTATTAGTGCTGTAATTTTATCATGGACTATTATTTAGGATTTTCTTTATTGTTTTTCAAATCAACCTAGATCCATAAGGGTTCTTCTTTCCCCTATTATGTTGGAAAAATAATGTCAAAATGGCTCCGCCCTGGTTAGTATTGTCCGTTTGGGGCCCTTCCGTACGAGGTCACCCTCAACGGCTTTGTCCCTTGAGCCCATGGAGACAGATCGCATGCACCCAAAAGCGGCGCTAAACGCAGTATGTTGTAGAGACCACCGGTCTTCCTTCTTATGTACTGAACAGATTCCTCGTGCGTAAAACCTGATGAATTGGAGATTCGCCTAGTGCACTGTAGCCTTAGATCCCTCACAGTCAACGGCGCCGCGAGGTCGTAGGGACTCACGTCCTCGGGTGAGGTTTGGCCCACACCGGCCCAGAGGGCGAGGCAACGGCTCTAATACCAAATGTCATGGCTTCGCCCGTGAATTTAGTAAATTGTCCCCGCTTTGGGCTTCCGTACGAGGTCACCTCCACGCTTTGTCCCTTGAGCCATTGGGAGACAGATCCTGCACCCAAAAAAGGCGCTAACCAGTTTACAGACCCACCCCTCTTAATGGTACTGAAACAGATTCCTCGTGCGTAAACCGATGTGGGATTCGCCTAGGTGCACTGTAAAGGCTTGAGATCACCCCCCTAGGACGATCAGCGTCCTCCGCTGAGGTTGCCACCAACCACCGGCCAGAGGGACGAGGCAACGGCTCTGATACCAAATGTCATGGCTCCGCCCTGGTTAGTATTGTCCGCTTTGGGCCCTTCCGTATGAGGTCACCCTCACGGCTTTGTCCCTTGAGCCATTCAGAGACCACCCCTCTTATGTACGGAACAGATTCCTCGTGCGTAACCAATGTGGGATTCGCCTAGGTGCACTGTAGGCTTAGATCCCTCACAGGCAGAGTACATGGCAGTTACAGAGACTGTTAAGGAGGCAATTTGGCTTCAAGGATTGCTTGATGAATTGGGAATTAGGCAAAACAACATTGTTGTACATTGCCACCCCACACAATCATACATACGTTAATCATGTCACACAATCAATAGTCCTTCGACTAATTATGAATGGACAAGCAAGCATGAATGCATACTTATCAAATAAGTCACAACAATTCAAGAAATCAAACAGTGGACATTAGTTTGCACAATCACCCATTATAAATAAGGATCATGCTCACTCCCAAAGTATGCTTTAAACTAATTTTCGAAAAAATAATCCACAATCCTTGTGTTAAGCGCACTCAGGGAGTCCACCCCAATTCGGGCTTGACGAACCTAGTCCGTCTAATGTTTCTTTCCTTTCTTTTCTTTTCTTTCCTTTCTTTTCTTTCCCTTGTTCACTTTTCCTTTTTTTTTTTTTTTTCTTTTTCTTTTATCACCAATGCGCATCAAATCAAAGAGTACAAGGGGGGATGCCAATCCACCCACTTACGGCATATTCACCATGCTCGTGCTCCCACCCCAGGGTGATCCACATCATTCTAACTTCACGGTAAATCATGAATAAATCATATCCAAACACAAGATTTCACATCATTCACACAATGTATAATGTCCAGCATCTTCACATATTTCAATATATTAGTATATGTGTTTCATGTAGTTCATGGCATACATGCCTGCACAGCATTTCTACATGTATGCATGCTTTACATAAATAGCATATCATTCATGTCTACATGAATGTAAAATGCATGAGCGATACATATTATTTAACTCTACTCACAGTTCTTTATTGTCCTTAATAGGACTATGTTCATTACAGCTCCCTTCTGGCTTTTGTCTTGTCATTCTGGAACCTTGTAAGTATCTAGAAAGAAAATTTTAAGTAAGAATTTAATTTTGAGATATTTAACTATCATTTATTTATTAATGTTGGCCAATATAGTCGATGGTCTTAACTTATTAAATTGTATATTTACTATTCTTTTATTTATTTATTTATTTAATCTAATATATAAACTTTAATAAAGCTTATAGTCCCTTGATAAGTAATGTTTATAATAATAATAATAATAATAATATTAATATTAATAATAATAATATATGGGTAATACATTCGTTAACGACATAATTAGTTCAATTCTTTATTAAACAATTTTTCGAAAATTTGACACCATCTCCCTTATAAATTGGGATAACCGTCTAGTCACGTATCAAACCAAAAGAACAATCTAACATATAGCCCATCCATTGGACAATAATCTCAATCAAAGCTCATCCTCCATTATGCCATAATTATCTCAATTGGTAACTAATTTACATTATATTCATCATGCATATTTACTAATCTAGATAATACAATTATTATTATTAAATATATATAACAACTGAGTTCTCATTATTTACACACTATTCAAACTATATAAATAATGAATGGATGCCCTCCAAAATGATAATAAGATATCAGATTCTTTTTAATCTAATTTTCCCTTTGATTTAAGTTAATTGATCAACTAACTTAGCTAAGCTAATACTTAAATATTTTCCACTTTAGCTATACATTCAGTTCAGTTAAACCGAAATAATTAAATTAGATCGATAAATTCTTAACTAAATACTGTCGGAAATTTAGCATCAAAGCCTAAGAGAAGAGAAGAAGAAGAAAAGATAGAAAAGAAGCTTCTAGCGCATTGTTGGGTAATTTCGGTTTGAATTGAATCGGTTTGGTCCAACTCAGCGATTTAGTCTGAATTTCATCCAGTTTGAGGATTCCAATTGATTTACAGGTCCTATTTAATAATAATAAAATATTTGCTTTTAAATTTCATTGGTTGAAATTAATAATTAAATTTTTAAATGATGTTTGAAAATTAATTTTTGAGTTATTTCAGTTACCCTTGTTTAGATTAGTATAATAAATATTTATATTTATTGCTTTGAGATAAAGAATAGTTTGAACAAATTACTTTTGAATTTTTTATAATCTAAAAGAATTAATTGCTTCCTTAATTTTTGTGCTATAAACTAAACAACTTATATTCTAAAAGAGACGGAGTAATTAACAATTATTTAAGTTGTTAATATACTAATAAATTTATATATATATATATATATTTAAATAAAATTTATATAAATATTAATATTATATTTATTTATTTATTTATTTATTTACAAAACGACAGAAGCAGTTGTATTTCGGAATTTATACACCGTTCGACTCGGCCCAAGGAGCGAACAATTATTTAGAATTTCTGTGGGCCCCATAAGTTAGCTGTATTAGATACGCTTCATGTGGTATAATACACACTTCACTTGTAATACAATTCAAATTAGAGGGCAAATAGGAGATTTGATACATGAACTTTGAAGCAAATTGGAGACTGGAAATGCCCAGTAAGCCGGAGCAATCGGAGGAAGAAGAAAGAGAAATCTTGAGCAATACCAGTTACTAAAATGGCGAAGACACAATTGATAACACTTGAGTGATTGAGATAACCAGACACGATTTTCTGTTCTATCGCGTATGCTTTTTGTTTTGATTCATGAGAACTGAGTAGGTGATGAAGGAGATGCTGATTTTATTTATTAAAAAATATTATTTATTAGTCTTTATAATGCTCAAAATAATTTATATTTTTGAGATAAAATAATTATTTAAAAATAATTTATATTTTGGGACCGAGGGAATATTAGTTTGCCACGAGTTGATAAGTCTAATAGTTTCGTGTATTTATTTATTTTTATTTTGTTTCGTGTATATTATTTATTTATTTATTTTATTTTTAAATAAAAAAAAAAAAAAAAAAAAAAAATTTTTATTTTTATTTTTAAATAAATAATATATTTAATTTTTTTTATTTTTAATAGCAAATATTCAATAATTTAGAGGAATATAACTTTCTTAGATTATTATTAAAAGTACAATGTAAATAGTCAATGATTATAAAGAAATATATATTATATATGTCATAAGGGTATTTTAGTCCGATAAATAATGTTACGTAAGTTTTGTGGAATTTATTTCAAAATTTTACCAAATTTAATATATTTTAGTTTTAATTATAATCAATTCCACGAAATTGAATTTTAGAAATTGAATTCTACATTTAATTAAACCAAAAAAGCTTAGAATTTTCTATAAATAACTCTATTCATTGTCCCACGTTGCCACATCCAAAATATTTTTGAAACTAAACTTCCACTTAACCATTTAATTTGCATTATGGTCAAGCTTTTTGCACAAAATTTGTAATCACAAATGCAATAGACCATAGAATTTGCAGGCAGAGATCTCAAACTAAGAGCAACTCCATTGTGATCGTAGATTGTAACTTATTTAATTGTCAAATCGGAAGAATGGAAAGTTAAAATATATATATATATACACACATATATTTTTTATATTTCAATGTTATTGTCTCTATAGTCAGTTAAATTGATGTGTAAGAAAATACACCATCACTGCTCGGTGGACCCTATCAGCTTCGAAAAACCATCACTGATTGGCCTAAAAAATTGTTCACAAGAAAAAGAGCAATATCTGTGTACAAACATACCTTGCCTTTTTGTTAGAAAAAAGTTGGGACATCACATGTCCCCATGCATTAATCATAAAATAAAGGATTTGCATCAGTGCAAAAGATTATACTTTTGCCCCCAGTCTGGAATTCCGATCTAGGACAAAAAATATTAGCTTTTTTTTTTAGGCATACTTTCCAATATTTATTGTCAAAATTTGGTTTAATAATTTTGCAAAAATTTAGCAAAAATTTAGTCATGAAAAATTTTGAGTCTGAATTTTCAGGTATATAACGTCCCATTTTGCTATTGAATCGAGTCGTTGCTTAGAGTCGAGTCGGGCTGAGCCAAAACCCGGTTCGAGCCATTAGAGTCTAGAGTGGGCTAGAATGAAATAAGGAGAAGAAGTGGACTTACTTGAAGGAAACAAAAAGATCAAAGTGTAAGGATTAGGACTTTCTTGCACTAAAATATAAAGTTGAGGTAGGAAGTTGTACCATTTTGACACTTGAGGTACCATTTGGTAATTTTCACATAAAAATCAATGACATTCTATGATATTACTAGAGACTACCCTGAGTTCCATTTCATTATTCATTATTCTTCATCCTTATCTTATCTTCTTCTCTAACTATTCCTCTCCACTCTTCCTTTCTCTCCATCACTTTTTAATGGTATGTGAGATGTTAATGGGATTCAAAACATTAAATTCAACTTCTATTCTTAAATCCAAGTAAGGTAACCTTCTTGAATTTCATACTTTAATCATTTGGTGATATTTTTAGATGAACTTCATAAGAATCTCATGTATAGGAGAGGTGAGCTCAAAGGTAAAGAAAAGGAAGTTAGAGAGAGAGGAAGAATTCCCAAGCTTGTTAAGTGACAGGTGCTGATAATATTCTTTTTCATTTACCAATTTTCTTTGCATGAGAAATTGTGTGGTGTGTTTGCTAATGAGTACAATATTGCTTCATGTTGAGATGGGGAGGACCTTTTGTAATGGGTGAGAAAACAGGGGAGGTATTGAATAATGAAGTAAATAGTGAGAGTTTATGCTGAAACAGGGGAGTTACTGGTACTGGAAATTTTACCAGTAACTTCATCTTGATTTTGATGATGAGTTCGCGTTGCCTTCTCGCGCTCGCGAATTTGACCTACGCGCTCGCGACTTTCACCTGAAACTCTCTGACTCTTATTTAGCACATCTCGCGGTCGCGACTTTCAAGTGCGCGGTCGCGACTTGTGCTCGCAAACTCGCTGACTCTCATTTGGCACTTCTCGAGCTCGCGACTTTCAAGTACGCGGTCGCGACTTGTGCCCGATAACTCACTGTCTATCATTTTGCATTCTATGCGCTCGCAACTTTGAAGTACGCGCTCGCGACTTGTGTTTTCATGCACTTTTGGACTTCTTTTTCAATGCAATTGTATTTCTTTGCTTCACTTATATGCCTGCCTCCAATCATTTTACAACAAAAATACAACATTAAATCATGTATCAAAGCAACATGCAAGCATGTAAATGATGTGAAATGAGGTAAACACAATTTGTAATTATATTCTATGCAATTGTGAAATGATGTGAAATGGTGTATGAAGTTATGAATTCTATATAATTGTATTCCTTTCTCAACTTGTATGTCTTCAACCATTTTAAAACAAAAAGACAACATGTATACATGTATAAACACAAAATGCAAGCATGCAAATGGTGTGAAAATAACATGACACAAGCATACAAGTTAGGACACAGTTACTTTGCTTTTGTTTTATCTTTTTATCTATTGTCATTCCATTTATATGCTCCATTGAGGTTAGGTAGAAACCATGTAGATAAGGCATGTTCCGCGACATAGAATAGCAGATTCGCCCATACAGTTTGGTACTCCGGCTACAGGCCGTTGAGTGGATATGATTATATCAGGGCCTAGCAGCCAAGCATAACAGTTTTCATCCAGTTTCATACAGTTTCATGCCCAGTTTTCATAACAGTTTTTTCTTATCCTTCGGTTTCAAACTATAACCTTAATGGAGCTATACAGTGTATATCGATCTACAAATTGCATAATCATACAGTATACTAACAGCAAGAAAGATCATTAAGGGAAAATGAAAGTATCATGATAATGTGTGCTTACATCCATAATGTGAGTAAAATGTTTTATTTCTACATATGTATTGCTTAATGTTTTCTTCATTCATTGGTGAATATTCAACTGAATTTTTAAATCAAAGTTGCAGGAAGTTTAATACAGGTATAAAAAGAACATCAGCGTAAGATTATGAAATATCATGTTATAATAGCTTACAAAGTTTATTTATTTAATTCTTAAGGAGCCATACAGTTCATGAATTTATTAATCATAACTTTATGTGTGACTAAAAAGTGCATAAAGTCATACAGGCATAATGAATAGCAAAGTAAGACAATGAAACATATACTGTTATGTAAATCTTACATGCTTTATTGATATTCAATTCATACAACACAAGACAGCAGGTAAGACATGATAGTAATATAAGTGTGAGTTTAAGGTTCATTAGTAAGGAGTTTATGAAGATAATAGAACTAATTATTGATGTTTATGAATTAGAAGTTTGTTATTAATTATAAGTTTATTTGATATTTATTTTGCTATAAATGTAAATGTATGTTCTTTTGATGAAAATTTATATTTTAAGTGTGTTGCCAGTGCAACATTATTAAGTTTGTCATTTATAAGCACCACTGAGTTTTATACTCAGTTCGTAGATTTTTATCACGCGCAGGTTGAAGTCCGTGGTTGCTACTTGAAGATCAGAAGAGTAGCTTCAGAACAGAAGAGACTATTTAGTAGTGGTAGAATTAGTTTGAGGTACTTAAGAATCATGGCATGTATAATTATTACATTTTCGGAGATTATGTTATTTGAATTATAACTTAAGCATGTAATGATAAATTAGTTTGGTGTATATAATTGAAGCATGTAATATTGTGGGTGGTAAGTATTTGGAGGAAATGATTGAAATATTTTACTATTAGTTGGTAATGATTAGGTTCATGAAGAACTTGATATAGATCATGATGCAATTTGAATTGCGCTGGATTTTCAATGCTAATTGAAGGATTTTTATACAGTTATGGACTATATAATAAAGTGTTGGTTTGGGTTATGATGATTAGTGTGGAGGTATTAAAAGTTTTGAAGTTTAAATTGGGAAAGTTAGTTTTATACTTCATATTTAGCATACAGGATGATATCAGCATCGACATGATATAAGTTTCAACAGATTGTAGCGTCTCGGCTCGGTTCATATCGGGTTTAACGGGTGGGACGGGAAGGGAAGGATGATATCAGCATGACATGATATAAGTTCAACCAGATTGTAGCGTCTCGGCTCGGTTCATTCGGGTTAACGGGTGGACCGGGAAGGGATGTTACATCATTGGAGTTGCTTTAAAGTGCAAACACATCATTCACAAGTGACTTAAAATACAATAAGAAACAAATCCTACTGGTTGTGGCTCAGTTGACAATGCAAGCTGGGCATGTGGAAAGAGCTATCGATCCCCAGTAAATGTACTCATAGGGAGGGGCGAAAAGCTTTAACTATGACTAAGCCCTGAGCCGAATTAAGCGGTTTCTGGTAATAGGGTTCGGATAGCGATGGTTTAAAAAAAAAAAAAAAAAGACCCAATACACAACAACAATGTAATATGAAATTATAAACCTAGCAAATAAGCCAAAAAATCCTCATTATTTGGATTTGATTCATGAATGCCTAAAGCTTTGTTTGGTTCCTAAGCAAAGATGATATTAAGGAAAGGTCACGAGTATATTAAAGGCCAAGGATCAAAAGATTGTACAAGTTTCTATTGAACGCGCGCCACGTGTTTGCGTTATGGCCTATAAGAACATTAAGCAGTAATTATTCCCTCATATGTTGCAACAGAAAATGACAAAGCAACACAGATACTCCATTTTAACTAGTTAAAACAATGATACATACGACAAGCTGGCTGTCGTTCTGACGCAAAGTATTAACAACGGTATCATTTTACGGTCGCATCCTGACCCTCCACGTCCCCATGACCCTACGGAATCCAGCGGGCTCAACAAATTCACAATCATCCAAATTCCCGCACATATATTGTTTCCCACGAAATCCATCCAATTCCCATGAAATTAAATCCCATAATTCATCTGACTATCAGTTGCTCAAGAACTGAAACTGTTCTTTTGTCCATTATAGTTTCAAGCTAACATGAAAATTGCAAGTGCTGTTTTATTCTTTCAATTGAATTTTCCTTTTCTCTTTACTTGCTTTTATCACCTTTCTTTTAACATATGAAGCATTTGTGATAAAAGAAAGCAAATCTTGAAATTCCAATGGAAAGTAAACAAACAGAAGCCAAGAAATTCAAAGATTGGAAACAGGCAGAGGATACAAAATTCAAAGGTTGGGATTGCTGGTTGCTGGTTTTGTTGATTGGAGTTATGGTTTTAATAGCAGCTGGGTATACAATTTTAAGAAGCTTTAATCACTTCAAGAAAAGTTCACATCACAACGGAGCCATCGTCAAGAAATATGCTGATGCTCTTGAGGTAGCGCTGCAATTCTTTGATGTACAGAAGTGTAAGTTGCTTGTCAACTAGCTACCTAACTTAGATTTGGTAAACGACTAATAACACCTTTGAGGTTTGTTATTTTAATGCCTGCTATTTTAAGAATAAAGATTTTGAGGGTCATTAGTGTTTTATATACTTTATCCACTCTAGGGCTAAAGTATATTATATTTTAAACTTGTATGGACCAAATTATCATAAAATTTAAAATGTAGTGAAAGATTTCTAATTTTACAAATATGAAATAACAAAGTAGACCAATATTCAAATTATATAAATCTTTAAGAGTGTTATGATAATTTATCTTATGGGATTTATAGTACTGCATATGATTTGCTTTGTTTGACATTTCCAATTGGAGTGAAGATCTCAACGTAATCTGTGATGCAAATTCTTGTTGCAGCTGGGAAATTGGTGGATAACAGGATTGCTTGGAGAGGAGATTCAGGTTTGCAAGATGGAAGACAACAGGGCTTGGATTTATCAAAAGGAATATATGATGCTGGGGATCTCATCAAATTTGGTTTCCCAATGGCTTTCACTGCAACCATGTTGTCTTGGGCTATTCTTGAATATGGAGATCAAATGGATAAAGTGAAGCAATTGGAGTATGCTCAAGATTCTCTCAAGTGGATCACTGATTATCTTATCAATGCTCATCCTTCACCAGATGTTCTCTATGTTCAGGTTGTGCGTCATGTTTTAATCAATATAATTCAACTCCACGGTAGTTAAATGAAATTTCACATTGATTTAAACCAAACATGATGTAAATTTTTGTTTGTTTGAAGGTTGGTGATCCTGATTTGGATCATAGTTGTTGGCAAAGACCAGAAACCATGACAGAGGAAAGACCACTTCTGCAAGTTAATACTTCTTTCCCAGGATCTGATGTTGCAGCAGAAACTGCAGCTGCAATGGCATCAGCATCTCTTGTTTTCAAGAAAATAAACTCTTCCTACTCTACTTTGCTCCTAGAACACTCTCAGCAACTTTTTAATTTTGCTGATACTTATAGAAGCTCTTATAGTGAGAGCATTCCCCAAGTTCAGACATTTTACAACTCCTCTGGATATGGAGATGAACTCTTATGGGCAGCTGCTTGGCTTTACCACGCAACTGGCGATGAATCATACCTCAGATATGTAACTGAAATGAACGGAGAGGAATTCTCTTACTGGGGAAATCCAACTTGGTTTACTTGGGATGACAAGCATGTTGGAGTTCAGGTACACGCCTCCAGTCTGTTTTGCATTAAGGTTCAAACTAGCATTTTAGATGTCATCAGAAAAAACAGTTTGGAAGCTTATTTAGCTGTTCTGAAGCTTGTATGATCAGACCAAAAATGCAAAGTTCACCTTACAAATAAACTTTAATGACCTTTAATCAAATAGTGATGGGGTTTTTGGAGCAGGTTCTGCTATCCAGGATAAACATGTTTGGTGCTGAAGGGATGTCAATGGAGGAGAATCTTGAGCTTCAAATGTACAGAGAAACAGCTGAGGCCTTCATTTGTGGACTTCTTCCAGATTCACCTACAGCCACATCCAGCAGAACAGAAAGTAATTATTCATCCTTTTGTTGATATTATTCAAAACAAATATACAAGTTTCTCATCATTAATTTTACTGATGCCTATTCTTTTAATGCAGACGGGCTGATATGGGTTGTCAAATGGAATTCTCTGCAGTATTCTGTTGCCTCTGCATTTATAGCTCTTCTGTTCAGTGATTACATGGTGGCTTCCCATATTCCAACTCTGTACTGTAGTGGGATATTGTATAGTCCAACTGAGCTTCGAAGTTTCGCCATTTCACAGGTATAAAACTTCTTATATTTACACAAAAATTACACATATTTTCTTTTAAATTGCTAATATGATGATACTGCAAACACTTTCAGGCAGATTATATCTTGGGAAAGAATCCTATGGAAATGAGTTTTCTCGTTGGGTATGGAAATGAGTACCCTCAGTATGTACACCATAGAGGATCATCCATTCCTGTTGATGCCAAAACTGGGTGTAAAGATGGATTTGAATGGCTTGACTCTCCTAATCCTAATCCAAATATAGCCGTTGGAGCTCTAGTTGGTGGCCCTTTCCTTAATGAAACCTATAACGACTCTCGAAGAAACATAATTCAAGCTGAAGCAACTACTTATAATGGTGCTCTCATTGTTGGCCTTCTATCAGGCTTAGTCTCCACTTCTTTGGCGGTTCAGTCTTTCACATAGCAGATAGCACAATCCTCTTGTAAAGTCCATAGCCATTAAGATAATAGCTCAGTGTTTTAGTATCCATCTGAGAGAACATTTGGAAATCTGCTTTTGGGGTTTGAGGCTCCAATGAGATAGTTTGTAAATAGTGGTAGTTAGATGATAATAATAATATATCATATTTTTGTTTCTTGCAAATTCTTGTGTATGTGTGAGGTGTCTAATTTTTAATATTAATAACAATCTATCTGTATCTATATGAAAGCTGAAAAAAATAATATTCAAAGCTTCTTCCTATGATCCCTCACCGTTGCATTTATCTTTTTTTTAGAAACTTTTAGAACTTATTTTTATTTTTCTATAATTCGATTGGAGGTATATTTTCTAAAAGTTAATTTTTAAATTTTTTAAATAGATAAATTGATAATTGAGCTTTTTAAAATTTTTAAAATTTAATTTTCATCAAGATAAACACTAACTATAAAAATATTAATTTGAATACAACACAAATTCTTTTCTAATCCAACTTATTTATATCATTCCTAATTGATTGAGCTGAACTCATGGATGATTGTGAACGTCAGTATGTGGAGCAATTTTGGACCTTGTTGTATTTTTTTATAGTTGTGTTTTTTTTTTTTTTTTTGGATCATTCCTAATGAATTGAGCTGAACTCATGGATGATTGTTGAACGTCAGTATGTGGAGCAATTTTTGGAACCTTGTTTGTAATTTTTTTTAATAGTTGTGTTTTTTTTTTTTTTTTTTTTTTTTTTTTTTTTTTTTTTTTTTTTTTTTTTTTTTTTTTGGAGTGTTAGATAAATATGCTGTTTGCTTTTATTTTAGGATTCTTTATTTTACAAAGGAAATTCAGTATGGTAATGTAATAAAATATTTTGATTCATTAATATTATATATATATATTATGCTTAAAAGGAGATATTGATGATGTTGAAAGTTGTACATCTATTAAAATTAATATTATTCCTTGAATTATCTATGTTTAATTTATTTATTTGAAATTTTAATATTGATAGAAACTAACTAGATAATTATTATTTCATTTTTCGGTGGTGTTATTACCGAACTGTAAGTCTAACGATATATCTATCTATTGAAATTTATTCTTTCATTTATCTATATATTTGAATTGGTGGTTCTTAAATTTATTTATATATTTTAATAATTTAATTTAAATATACTGCACAAATCACCTTTAGTAAAAATTAAAGCAGAAATTCATACTTCCTCTATCCCATATATATAGCTTCATTTTTTTTTTCATCTGTCCCAAAAAATAGTCCTATTTTTTTTTTTTCAAACATCATTTATTATTTAATTTCTTAACTTATCCCTATTTAATGTACATCCACATTCCCAATTGATGTCCATTGTTTAATATTATAAAGGGATATTTTGGAAAAAAAAAACTAAACAAAAGATATAATTCAACCATATTAATTAGTCTTTTCTTAATCAATATGAAAGTCAAATTAGGTCTATACAAACGGGATGTAGAGAGTACTATTTACTATTACTTTATTTCTTTTATGTAAAATCAACTTTACTATTACTTTATTTCTTTTATGTAAAATCAACGTAAAACATGAATTAACTTCCAATAAAAAAAAAATTAGTACCCATTTTTCTGATTATTAAATTCCAGACAATTTAAATTTTACTTTTTTTTTTTTGTTTGCGTGATTACTAAGTTAGGTAGCTCTCACATTTAATTAATTTCTTTAAGATCAATCGAAATACCTAAATGTCTTAAATAATGGAATTTTTTAACTTCCATTTCAACCATGTTCATTTGCCGAGTTTCAACATGTGCATCTACTGTGAAGTTATTTTCATAATAAAATTTGATTATAATGTTAGAGATTTACAATATTGGGCTATTTCAAACAATGTTATAATTATTTTGATATTTGCTATTATTAATTATTTCAAATAGGATTTTACTGTTGTTCTTAACAGTTGATAATTCATAATAATTTATCAAAAATAATAATATAATTAACTACGACAATTAATAAAACAATAGTTAAATATCTGCACATGAAGCACGGTTTTTCTACTAATTCTTATATATAAGTGAGTTATGCAATTTTTAATATTAATTATTTGTAAGTGTAATTGAGCATTTTTAATATTAGTTAAATTTGTTTAAGTGTAATTGTAAAATCAAAGCTCACTCGCTTGAAAATTTCCAATTGACAATTAAGACCTTATTATTCTTTGACCCAAATACTTCCAAAAAAAAAAAAAAAAAAAAAAAAAAAAAAAACTTTATGTGCCTTCTTCCAATTTTAGGATAGTTTTATTTTTTTAGTTGTTTTGATATGACTTGAAAAAAAAAAAAAAAAAAAAAAAAACATTTATGTGCCTTCTTCAATTTTAGGATAGTTTATTTTTTAGTTGTTGATATGACTTGATAGCTAGTGGCTAGTGGCTTGAAGCTGTTAGCTAATTGGTGTTTTGAAAAAATTTTAAAAGGTAAAATGACCATCAATGGTATATATTAAAATAATAATGTACTTTTTTAATTATTAAGTAAAATATATTATTTTGCAATTTAATGTATATAAATAAAATTATAAATTATTTCTTATAATTAATATTTAGTCCCTCTCATTTTTTTATACAGAGGTAGCTAACTTTGCACAAGAATTAAAAAATTAGTTTAACTGATTTTTTTTTTTTTGCCAAATTTTTTTTATTTTACTCCCAACATTATATTAATTGAGTGTTTGGCTCATTCCCACCCATTTCCATACACACATTTAATTAACAGATTACAAAAAAATTCGCATCCAATTTTCTGTTAATTAACCAATTTAATGAAAAAAAAAATTACTCTCATATTAAAAATGTGCACAATTTCGTAAAATGTGCACTTCTCCTAAAAATGTGCAATTTTTTTAGCAAAATCTGTAATGCCCACTTATATAACATCGTAAAATGTGCTCTTTTTTTATGTCTAACTTTTCTTTATACGAATAATTTGTAATAAAATGTGTTAATATAATATAAAAAAATGACGCATAATAATTTTTCTATTCTTAACTAATGAAATATTCATTATAATATCCACACATTCCGTTGGCCAAATGTCTGAAAAAATCCAGTTTCCTGTCCTCTGTTACCAATGGATAATTAAATTGAACCTTCCATGGTTTCAAAACGGCCACGTGGTTTTAAAATTTTCCTTGCCGTCCTATTATAATGTAGGGTGTTAAAAAGCGCGGTCAAAATAAATGGATTAGGATTGAGGTTAAACAAGTTATGTGTTATAAGCGGATCATCTAATTATGACACAAATATAAACGTGTGTTATAAGCGGATCATCTAATTATGACATGAATATAAACGTGTCTAGATTGATACGCGGATTAAATGAGTAACCCATTTATTTCAAAGTAAATAGGTAATTTTACTATCAAAAATAAATATTCCAACTAAATTCCTATTTAAATTTTATTGCTATATTAATTTTTTATTTTAATTATGAATTTTGAAAAATCTATTCATTTTAACTATGAAAAATTATTTTCAAATATAATTTATGTTAAATAAGTTAAAACTAAAAAATATCATAAGCACGTTAGATTGGTAGTACATAGGTCAACACAATCACTTCACTTGTTTATGATATTAAGCAGATTACATGTGTCATATACGGGTTAATACAAATCATTTAACATATTTATAATATTAGACATATTATGTGTTGTATTCGTGTTGATCCTAATTATGTCGCGTGTTAAGTGAATTCGTATTGAAGCTAACTTGCCAACCCGTTTTAATACCCTTATCATAATGTATGATTTGACGTATTCCAAGATGCTTAATAATCGACTAATTATTACCTGCCCACTCAGTAAATAAATTTTGCAAGTCATAGAATTTCATAAAATTCAATTCAAAATGAATGCCACAAAAGTTATGGAATTCATTTATTCCAAAGGAACTCCTGCTACAAATTTTTTTTTTTTTCTTAGTATACGACTTTAATGGACAACGACCCTTTCCTACGTGGCATCTTCCGTGACCATCCATTCAATTGTAATTTATTTGGTTTTTTTTCAAATTCTTGTACCATTTGATGAAAAAATAGCTAGCTTGAGCATTTTCTTTGCGCCGTGTTTACTTTCTCCTTCCTACAATCTATTGAAATTTTTTGAAATATATATACATATAGCCCAGTACAGCTTCATATCAATACATCCAGAGCCAACCTTCCCTTGTTTTCCTTACCATGAAGCAAGAATTCCCTTATATTTCAGTCTTTTCAACTTTCATCTTCTTCATCTTCATATTATTGAAGATATTTCGTAACACAAAGTCGAAAACCAGTTCAAACCTTCCTCCTCCAGGGCCATGGAAATTACCCTTGATAGGTAACATTCACCAACTTCATGGCTCCTTACCCCACCGCTGTTTGCGTGACTTAGCCAAGACTTACGGCCCAGTTATGCGGCTGCAATTCGGTCAAGTTTCTGCCGTAGTAATATCGTCGGCGGAACTAGCCAAGCAGGTTCTGAAAACTGATGAAGAGAACTTTCTTGATAGACCTCGAGCTGAGGTTACAAATATCTTGTTTTATAATCGTCAGGGTATTGCATTTGCACCACATGGAGATCACTGGAAGCAAATGCGAGATATTTGTATTTCATCTATGTTAAGTACACGACGGGTTAGATCATTCAGATCAATTAGACAAGATGAGGTATCAAAATTTATTAGATCTATTTATTTGAAAGCCGGAACTCCCATAAATCTTAGCAAGATGATATTTTCTTTAACAAATAAAATAATTGCAAGAACCAGTGTGGGTGAAAAAGGTATAAGAGAAGAAGATTTGAAATACATTACGAAAGAGTTTAACGAAGCTGTAGGAGGTTTTAGTGTTGTTGATATATTACCTTCTCTTAAGTTTCTGCATATGATAAAGGGAAAAGCGGTAGGCTTAAAAGGGTGCAAAAAGAAGTTGATAGGATTCTTCAAAACATCTTAAATGAAAATAAATCTTGCAAGATTGTTGAACCTGATAATCTTTTAGATGTTCTTTTGGATCTTCAACGACATGGCAACCTTGACATCCCATTAACAAACGACAGCATCAAAGCAACCATCTTGGTGAGTGAAAATATACGTTTAATTAAATTCTTAAGTACAGTAAAGATTCCTAATTCT